CCCCCGCCCCCCCTTCCCTCTAGGAGAACAGGATCCCTCTTCTGTGCCTGGGCCCATATATCTGAGACAAGGTGGCAGGCTTGTACGACAATTTTTGTCTTATTAAGATATGTAGAAAGGTTGCTATCTTATTACGCATTACATAATGCAGTTCAATATATGGCTTATATGGCCAACAGTGTCACATTACAAACTGTAGTTCAAATGAGTAAAAGGCTTCATACTGCTATCTTACCTTGTAAGTTTAAAACCAAACTTTCTGATTTCTATCCAAACAGGCAATACTACTCAAACTATTACATTTCTTTGGTTTATTTTACATTGTCTATTAAAGAAACTCCCTGTATGCTGTCATTTGGCTGAACAAAAAGTATGAATAGATGTAACTGTGACCTTCTATTTATGACTTTCCACAGGGCAATGGGCCTATAACCTCACTAGAACATTTCTCTTTTACAAAGACTTTTCTCAAACCCTGATTGTATGATCTATTTGACATGTCACTTATCATTGTTAAAAAAGAGAGGCCTAATGAAGCACAGCATTGCACTCGAATGCTTAAAGCCACTTTACACATTGGGGTTACACTTTTCTGACAAAATGTCAATGTCCTGTCATACATATTCAGTATCACTGGGTTAGTTACATTTTGAGCGCAGTGCATGCATATGAATTCTAGTAGATAAAAATGACTTATGAAGATCTGCCAACATGGAACAGAAAAAGAAAAAAAATGAAATAGATGTAATCTTTCAGAACCTGAAGCAGTTGAACTAAAAGCCAATCTTTAAAGACAACTTAAATAAGATTTTCCTTGTCTCAAACCTAGATGTTTGGAACACAGTTAATTTGTAGCTTAGCTGTTCAGTTTGCTTTACTGCCTGTATACACAAATACAACTAGAGCCTTTTCTTATGGGTAGGTTTTCAATTAGCTTTAGCAGCAATAGAAATATTCTATACACAGGGCATAAACATATGCTGCCCAGCTCTGTTTTTATTTTTTTCTCTCTCTCATTTTAAGCAGCCACAATTTAAAACAAACAAACAACCCCCCCACCACACACACACATGCAGAAAGGCACTCTTTAGAAATGATCCCAAACACCTATGTTTCTATGACATAAATAGCAGCATAATGGATTGCTGTGGCTCATTGATCAGCCAGTGTCGCAGCAAGGGCTTCATTTGCCCCCATCAAGGAAGGCAGTGCCCAGGTCTGCATCCTGGTTGACCTACTCAGGTATACTACTGCTGGAATAGGGCTATCCATCTTTGGTGTGCTTGAAGGCCACACACTGTACCAGATGCACTCTGTGTGGGTGAGCCCTGGGATCTGCTTTGCTGGTACATAGCTTTCCTTCTGCCCCACCATGCTGCTCCACCTGCACTATCCACCATGCCTGTACAGCTGGCATGTGGCTCAGCCCTGCTCTCAACTGCCATCAGCAGCACATGGGTCCATTCCTCCGCTGGTGTGCAGGCTACACAGGTGGCACTCAGACTCCTGGTCCCTTCCCCACTACATGACAGTGGGAGCAATGGCTGCTGGGGCCTTCAGATTGTACATGAACTTCTTGTGGACTGCATTCAGCCTGAGGGCCATATATTGGCCCTCCGTAGGCCACATCTGGCCTGCGGGACACCAGTTGGACATCCCTAGTGTAGAATATTTAAGACCCTTGGAACTTCCCACGACTGTTTAGTAGAAGTACTCAGAGCATGGGTTAGGAAGTCCTTAGGGCACTTTGCAAATGCTGTTGATTAATTTTATCCAAGCAATATTAAAAGCAAGGGGAAGTGGGCCAACTTCAAAAGATGACTGGAGACAATTAAATAATGCTCAGCCTATGGACTAGTGATTAGAACTCTTCTCTGGGGAGTAGGAAATGCAGGTTTAGATCCCCTCTGGTGAGAAGAGCATAGAATCTGGGACTCCCAATCCATGGGCAAATACCTTAGTCTCTACATTACTGGACTAAAAAGTGGGAGGTGCTGCCTCCTCTTCCACCATCTAATAGGTACTAGTCAAGATTTCTCTGCAAGTAAAGTTTTAGGACCTACAAAGTGCACATGCCAGGACAATTCTGTTCACCTCAGGCCTCTATATAACCTACTGAGTATGCTTAATAGAGAAGCATAGGGGAAGAATAGCTACATAGAACCCAAGCTGTGTATAAGTGCTAAATCTTTAGTGCCACTAAGGCCATGGATGACTGGTGCCACCTGAGTCAGGGGGGGCATGTGCCCCACCCACGGCTGATTATACCAACTGGGGGGGGTGTTCTCCATAGCCAATCTTGCTAACCAGGAAGTGCAAGCAGTGCTTCTGGAAGTGCCAGCAGTGCGCTCCCAGAAGTGCCAGCTGCACTTCACCTGGTAGGCCCACACCCTAGCCAGCACTTGCGCTGCCTGTCGGGGGTACACCAGCACCCCCCATGCACCCCCTATGCGTCACTACTGACTAAGATACATGAATGCAAAATAGGATTTAGCTCTTAGAAAAGTGGAAACATTCTGATAAGCTGAAAAACCAGAGCTTGGTGTCAGAAAGCTGAAAGTGTTGCTTTCTTAATTTTACAAATAAAATCTATTCTTATCAATTAATGTGGTCAATTATGCTTAGGAAGAAATGAGAAAGGTTTAAAA